CACTTTTTTACCGTGTGACCAAGCACTTAGCAGAATTTGCCCAAAGAGGTGATGGAGTCTCCATCCTTGGAGATATTCAGCAACCATCTGGACATGGTCCTGGGCAACTGGCTCTGGGTGTCACTGCTTGAGCAGGGGTGGATGGACCAGATGACCTCCAGAGGTCCCTTCCAAACTCAACCATGCTGTGATGCTGAGAAACTATGTCTTTATTGAAGATAGGGAAAAGCAGCCTTTGCCCAAGCAGCACCAAACCCATGGCAGGATATCTCCAGCTCATGAGAACCTAACAGGAGCTGCGGTTCCACTCCTGCTGTCACACCACCTTGGGGTAGCAGGGGCAGGAAGGGAATATGACATCAGGAGACGGTTTCAGGAGCCAGAAGCAAGGGGGATGTTCTGCTTGGGAAGTCCAGGGATTCACCGCTATTTCCTGCATAAAAAAAGCACAATGTGTGGTCAGCAATATTTATTTTCCCTGTTCATTCTTTGTCTTCCTCCAGCCTCTCTGCCACTTTTATTATAAGGACCTGTAAAGAATTACTGGACAACCCTTCCTCAGATAAGCTCCAGTCCTTATTTCAGTTGACTTGGACCTGTGCATTCCTTAGTTGTTGCAGTCTTGAACCCAAGGCTCTTCAGAAACCTCACTGAGATGGTTCTGTGCCCCTCACTATACAAAGGTCGCACTTCACTTTCACAGCATGAGAAAGGGAGAATGGGAAGATGCTGGCTGAATTTGGGCTTCTTCAGTCCACACCGGGCAGGTTCAAGCAGCTTTACAAAGGAATTTTAACCCTCCTTCCCTGGCCTCTGCGTCTTAATATGAATGCAGGAGGGTGTTATCCAGCAGTGTGGATGTGAAGACAACAGCAGATCTATTTCAGCAAACATAGCAGAGGGCAAATTCCGAATGTCTAACTTCAGAACTTATCTTTTGCAGCAAACTACCAAATCTGTACACCTTCCATAGATGTGATAAGGGTGATGTCATGTCAAAAACCTACAGAATCCCCCTTTGTGCTTACATCGCCATTCATTTCCTGGAACCAGAGATGTACCTGTAGAGAGAGACAATTGAAAGGGAAAGATAATTTGGGAGCACATTCTGTAATTCTAGAAGGGCTGGCACTCCACTAGGATTTCAACCCACTTTGTGGGCCAAGTATGAAAATGACCACAACTGCACCTTCAATAGCAAGCTAACTACCTAGAAGGACCATCAGCTAAAGCCCTGAGGCACAGGGCTGTTTGTGGGACAAAGGGATATTTTTCATCCTCCCACTGTCCCTGCAGAAGGAGCAGTTATTCCATAAAGCCAAGCTCTTATTCCTGAATGGCTTTCTCCACACCAGCCCCTCTAGCTCTCAGAGGAAGGGGCATTGTAACAGCATCCTTTGGTATATTCCATTGCATGACTTTTAATGTTGGAGCAAAGCCACAAAACTTTCCTCTCCTTTGAGCATCTCTAAAATGTACGGTCACCTACTAGGACATGGATCACGCATCTACCCTCTTCCACTCTCACCTGCAGCGCCCTGGATCAACAGGAGGAAGAAGGAGAAGAGCAGGGACAGGATCTTCACAGCTGATGCCTTGCCCAGGTCTTTAGAGGTGTGCAGAGTGGAGACACAAAGCCAACAAGGGCATGAGAGATCTCAAATGGTGCAGGAGCTTGTGCACAGTGGTATATACTGAACTGCAGATCTGTTATCCTGAATGAAAAAAGATGGTGCTGTCTGTAGCATATTCACAAAAACAATGGCCACCTCTGCAACTTCATGAATAGCCTGCCAGTAGTTCAGGAAGTTCTAGGCAAGGCAGTACCTTCTTCAGGTATCTTCCTTATATGTTGTCTCAAGCACAGACTGCAGATTTTATGTCTGGTAATTCAGGCTGTTTTAAGTGAAAAAGCAGCTGGTGCTATTTAGAGAGCAGTCAGAAAATTTACCTTTAGGAGTACCTTGGGCCTTACACACAGCTCACCTGTCTCTGAAACAGACCTAAATATGTTCCTAGAGAGACAGAATGGAAAGGATAGACTAGGTATGCATTCAAGTATGCTCATCAGATAAGGGTCATGCCTAGTGCCTGTGCTCTCTTGCTTCTGCATCTCCTTGCCAAAGGCCAAAACAAAGAAGGTTTGAGTGCTTTGCAGGTGCTTGTGCCAATGTAAATGCAAAAGCAAAAGGAAAATTATGGTCACAAAGTAGTGCAGCAGCTCCCCAGTTAGCAGAAAGAAGGGAGAGAAGTGTGTCAGTGGCCAAAGGGATCAGGAAAACATGAACTTTCAACTTTTCTGAAGGCTGATAGAATGGAAATTCTCTGTACTGCTGCATGTAAAGTGGCTCCATTCTTTAAATTACGAAGTTCCCCAATACAATTACAAATTGTATTCACCAGAATACAATTTCGTGGTGTCCATCTTCAAACAACCACAGAACCTTTCCAATCTCTCCTGTGCTGGGGAAACCCTGCAACCAGGTTCAGCAGATTACGAGCTCCAATGAGAATTCGCTTTTTCAATTTCCTTTATTTCCCCCCAAAGCACAGATGGCATTATGTGAATAGATATATACAATAGTTTGTCATTTAGATGGTCCCAGTGTGATGGACTGAATGGGGGCCCAGTGTGATGGACTGAGAGGCCCCACAGTCACTTGCCTTATGAGGGAAAGTCTTGGTCTTCAGGCAGCAACAAATCCATCAGGAATCACTTGCTTCAGATGCCTTTGCGGTCAGGGAATGCCACTTTGGCCAAAATACCCTGGTTTTATACCAGTGCTAGTGAGTGAGACATGCTTATTCCATGGCCACATCTCCCCTTGGCCTATCAGCAAGTGACCCATGTGCATGGGGGTGATGGCTTCACCTCATCCTTCATCGTGGCAATGGGAGAGTCTGAGGTGCCTCCTAGGGTTGATGCAATCTTCACCGTTATCCTCATGCAACACATCTTGTGACATCCCGCTGCACAGTGAGCACATGGGCTTGGTGTCTCAGCATGGACTTTGGTAGGTACAGACAGCAGCAACCACTCATCAAAATGCAGATAAGGTTTCCCTACTTATCTGTCTCCTCCAATCTGACAAAATAATCTACATGGGATGTAGAAGAACATGAGGAGTATTATAAAGCTTCTTACCTGTCAGAATTATAAAAAGGATTTTATCTCTGCTTTTGTTTGAAGCTTCATCAGACGTTTTGGAGACAACATACTGATTGTTGCACACATGTATGAGCTGATGGTCAAATGCACACCTATGTCAGCAGCATCTCCAGTTCACTGGTTCCATGTAAGTCATGTCAGATCATCAGTAACAGAAAATATCTATTTATTAATTGATTTTTCTCATTTTCTTGCTCTTTTTCCTCTTTCTTTACTGTATTAAACTCATGGGGTGACTTTCCACAACACCATCAGTCTTGTTCAAGATGTCCTGGGCAAAGGGGCCCATGGGATAGTAGGACAGCTTCATGCTGCTGAGATAAGGGGTGTTGATGGTGACTGCTAAATGTTCAGTTACATGATACATGAATGAATGTGAAGGAAACGATTCTGGAAAGCCAGTGGGAACCTGCTGTGTTGTGCACAGGATGTAAACAGAAGGGTGGGAACTGCTGGTGGATATGGGGATAGACCCTTGCTTATGTGGACACAGCTCTTGGAGCTGTACAGATCTCCTCTGACTCCTACAACCCTCCCACAGGAACTGATATCATAGGAGACTGGGTTACACTGAATGCAGCTGGGACCTGCAGCTCCAGGACCAGGGCAAAGGTGCATCAGCCCCATGGCTCTGGGATGGGCTGCGTGTCTAGAGGGGAAGCAGTAGATGGTGAGGTGGTGGTGAGATGGCTGCATGGAGACCTCATAGCAGCCTTCCAGCATCTGAAGGGGCCTACAAGGGTGCTGGAGTCCCCCTCTTCATCAGGGACTGTAGTGATAGGAAAGGGGTAATGGGTTAAAACTTAAACAGGGGAAGTTCAGGTTAGATATAAGGAAGTTCTTTACTGTGAGGGTGATGAGGACCTGGCACAGATTGCCCAGAGAAGCTGTGGCTGCCCCAGCCCTGGCAGTGTTCAAGGCCAGGGTGGATGGGGCTTGGAGCAACCTGGTCTAGTGGAAGGTGTCCCTGCCCATGGCAGGGGGTTGGAATGAGTTTTAAGGTCCCTTCCAACTGAAACCAGTCTGGGATTCTATGATTCTATAAGTCAGGGATGGACTGCTGTGGGTGATCTGCCTCCTTGGAATGGACATGATTCACTACTTGCTGACATACTCACATGTGCATGGACACACAGATATATTTAACTATAGAGGACAGAGGTCTGCACTTGATGAAAGGTTAAGGCTGCTGATGAAGAACCATGTTGCAATCCCTGTTTGTCTGAGTCAGGCAAAGAGAAGAAGACACCTTGCTTTCTTGCTGCTAGACTACACTTACGGACATTTCCAGGTTGTGGCCAATGGAACCCATTGGAGAGGAGATGAACCTTGAGGAGGAGATGGACAGCCAGTCTGGAGGACCTACTTCCCTCCAAGGCCTTGTAAAAGTCTCCTTGGGGGTTGTCTGTGCTATCAGGCCCCTCCAAGAGGGATGTGTCAGGGAGACAGGCTGTGGGCTAGTAGAGGTGCTGCTGCTGTGAAGCTGCCAGGAGGGATGGAGCTGAGCAGGGACACCTGGGATAGGTTCAGGGGCAACGCTGGCCATGCCTGCCCAAGAGACACACACCCAGCACTGTCCTGAGCATGAAGCTACAGCTAACAGGGTCATAAATACACACAATAGCTTTATCCACATCAAACTCCCTGCCCGGAGGACTGCCAGGCCAAGATCATCCCCACATCACTGCCAGGAAAGAGCATCCTCAAGGACAGACCCAGTAGTGATCCCCAGCATCCCCAGGCGCTTCTCCTGCCACCACCCCACTGGCACCCCATAGGGAGCCAGCACAGCACACCCTGCGCCACAAGAACAGGCACACGTCCCAGCCGCTGCAATGCCAAACTGCTCGTCTTTATTCAAGCCGGGAAAAGCAGCCTCTGCCCCAGCAGCACCGGCTCCGTGTTGGGATGTCCCCAGCACACGGGCACCCAGCAGGAGCAGTGCTTCCACTGCTGCTGTCACAGCCCCGGGGGGCGGCAGAGGTGAGGAGAGGAGATGACATCAGGAGCCAGGAGCCAGAAGCGAGGGGGACGTCCTGCTCATGGGGTTCAGGGGCTCAGCCCCACATCCTGTATGGAGAAAGCACAAAAGCACGTCGCCCCTCATAACTTACTTTCCCTCTCACTCTCTCCCACCTCTCCTGCCCAGACAACCAAGTCTATGGTGCAGGAGAACCAGACTCAACAGAGGTGAGGTTCAGTCCTTGCTGCAGAGTTTGGACCAGCGTTATCTTAGTGTAGGCAGCTCTAACTCCAGCTCTATGCAGATGCAGCAAACCCAGGGTCATGCTGTCTAAGGACAGTGAATGCTTCGCTCTCTCCTAGCTTGGGAGAGTTTCCTGCAAAGCCTGCATGAGTCTCATGGAGCTGAAGGAGAATGAGGAGGTGCTGGGTGACCTTGGGCTCCTTCAGCACCACCCAGGGCAGGTCCAAGCATCTTTCTTTTTCTCCCTCGGGCTGTGCTTTATATGCATGTGCAGCACTGTGCTGTTATCTAGTCATAGTGCTTAAACACACCAGTGACTCTTCCTGCCATCACATCATCATTTCTAATAACACAACTTACTTCTTGCAGCAAAATGAGAACTTTGTACAGAGCCCACTGATGACAAAGGGGAAGGGGCACTTAAAAACTGCACAGAAGCCTTTTTGTCGAAGACATTGTGCCTTGTTTCCTGGAGCCAGGGAGGATCCTGCACAGTGAAAGAGATCAAAAAACGTGAGTATGAGATGACCAAAATATGTGCCTGGTTCCAGAGAGCCTGATACTGCCACTGTGTCTCAGTATCCTACATGCACCGGCCACCAAAACCAACACCTTTACCTCCCCAGTAGGAGGTTATCTTCTGCAGCAGCATGTGCACATGCATGGAAACTCATAGGGAAAGACCAGTGTGAGGTACAGCAACTGCTGTGCTGGCTCCTCAGCTGCTCAACCATTCATTAGAGTTACTCCCTCCCAAATGTTATATATATATATATGACAAATCCGGTTACTTCCCAAGACCCCACTAATGGGAGCTCACATTCCATCCGATCTCCTCTCTTCCACTCTCACCTGCAGCACCCTGAGCCATCAGGAGGAATAAGGGGAAGAGCAGGTACAGGATCCGCATGGCTGATACCTCGGTCGGGTCTTCACAGGGCTGCAGAAAGGACACATCAAAACAACACAGAAAGGACATGGACGAGTCTGGGCGCATATGGTCACCCAAAAAGCAGAAGCACAATCTCCAACAAAAAGAGAGAATAATGGTACCAATAACTGCAACTTCTCGTGTATTCTTGGAGCATTTTGGGAAGCACCAGCCTGTTGGACAATCCAGAGTTTCATCTTCTTCATCAGTTCCTGATGTTTTTCTCAAGGCATTGGTTGATGGCTAGTATTTGCCATTTTACTCAAAACAACATTCACTGAAACTCGGGTTATAAGGAAAAAGAATACTTTTTTTTTTTTCCCATATGTTATAGTCCCTCACTTTTGCAGGGCATGTATTTGTCCCCTGGGCAGAATTTTCCAGAGAGACAGGGTCAAGGGGTGACACAAAATACACCTTACAACACAGACCAGGATGGGCACTAGGGCATTTGCTCTCTCTCTTCTGCCTCTTCTTAATAAATGCCAGAGCAGAGAAGGTTTGCCCATGAGGTGATACTGTGCCAGCACTCAGTACCATGCCAATAACCAAACCAGACTCCAGAACGTAGGGAAATGCATGTGCCTGGAGAATCCATGCATTAGCCAGCACTCTCCATCACTTCTGTCAGTCCAGACTTGGCTGCCCGAAACACCCTGCCCAATCACCACTGCTTCCCTGGGCTCAGGAAAGTCCTCCCAGCTCAGCTTGGAAGTGCCCATCCTCAACTCAAGACCATTCCCAAGCTTTCTGCAAGGACACTCTCCAGCTCCACACTCACTGTCCCTGACCTGTGCAGCACAGACCCAGGGAGAAGCAAGGGGACAGGGAAGTGTGTTGGTGGCCAGAAATGGAATCAGACAACTTTTGAGTCAACTGAAAACTTGAAATTATGAGAGATCTCCTACTGCTGAGGAAAGTCCCCATTTTCACAGATCTCAGGTCCCTCCTCATATGAGGGGGTTTTATTCTCTTTCCCATGCAGCTCTGACACTTGTTTATGATCAGTTTGTCATGTACAGCTCTGGGAAGATGGATGCGCACAGAGGAGCTGAATGCGTGGCCAGCTTGGAAAAGACTCCACAGTCACCTACCTGATGAAGGTCTTGATTCAGAGTCCACCAAGGAAGCAACAGGCTGAAACAATCCACCAGGAATCACTTGCACCCAGAAGTATTAGGGAGTATCACTTTGCCCAAAACACCCTGGTTTTACACTGCTGCCAGTGGGTGGGACTTGCACATATTCCTGCTGACACATCTCCCCTTGGCCAATCCCAAAGCTTCCCTCTGTGCGAGGGTGATGTGGTTGCACCTCGTTCCTCCCTGCTGCAGTGGGAGATGCTGAGGTGCCTCCTGGGGCTGTCGCAATCTTCGCCGTTATCCTCATGCAACACATCTTGTGACACCCTATGGCACAGTGAGCGCAGCGCCTGTGGTGGCTTGATGAGAAATCTTTGGGATGGATGAAGTAACAGGTTGATGCAGACAGCAGCATCAGCCCCAGAAGAAGGGAGTGCTACTTTGTCTCTTCTCATCTGATTGTATAATCAGGTAGCGTGTGATGTGCAAGAACACGCACAGTATTGAAAGCCCTCCCACCTTTAGATACTGCAGGAACACCTTCTTCTGGGACAAGATGTCTGTGTACCTGACACATCAAAGTTGATAAGCATAACACTGTCTCTCTAGTGATTATTTAGATAAAGTGAGAGTAGCAGCAAGATACACGTTAAGGTCTGTAAAACAGATGATCCAACAAACCTGCATCTCCTCCTAAAGCTATCCAAGGTGAAGAAATAGGGATGTAGGCCCTGCTTGAGGATCCAATGCATCTGATGCCACACATGCAACTGGAGAAGAGGCAGTCCTTGCTAGGCAGAAGGCTGCTGTAACGCATGCCTGACTTGGCAACTGCCTCTGAAGGTGTTTGTAAGAGAAATTTGGTCTCCCCAGCTCCAAGAGGTTAGATGTTGGGGATTTTGGTCGTGGATCCTGGCCTCTTGGCCTTTCTCCTTGCATGCCATTGAGGTGTCAAGTCACAGTGGCAAGATAACAAACACACAAAAGGTGGAAGAAGCAGAGGGCCCACCTGCCCAGAAGATTGACCTTGGGTTTTACCAGAGAGCTACTTGAAGAGAAGCAGAAAAAGATGTGGTCTGTGGTACAGCAGCAGTTGGTGCTGGTTTCTAATGAGCAGGGATGCAGAATGTGTGTGTGCATGTGTCCCCACGTGTACAGCAAACCACAACACTGAAGGGCTCTTTCTGCAAGGCAGGGTGACATGAGACCCAGGGCTGGAGGCCTGGGAATCCTTCACAGAGGTATCAGAAGAAGAAAGTGATGCCTCCTATTCTCAGGATAGGGGTGTGGGTGGGTGGTGTAAACAGGAAAAGGGACTGTTTGACTGGTCTTTCTGAGCTCTCTTCCTGATGCTCCAAGGAACAGCACGTAAGATGTGAATCAATGAAGTGTATGGAAAAATGTAGGATTTATCTGATGCTACAGTAAAGTTTCCCAGTATATAATGAAGTTTCCTTATAGACACAATGCAGGTTAAAAAAGTCAAGACGGAAGATAAATCTTTTGGTGCAGGTGTTTATTTTTTCTCCACTGAGATCATGAGCCAGATGTGACATCTCCTGGTTGCTGTGGCATCTGCCCTGGGGTGCCTTACACCCCATGTCTATAAGGAAAGGTGTCTGCTGCAGGTTTTGCAGTGGGGGGGTGGAGCTTGGACCTTGTAAAAGGCTCTCATGCTGCAGGGATAAGGTTTTGCCACCATCTCCATATCTCCTGGCCTATGTCTTTCCAAGTCAGCACTAGGGAAAACAGCCCTGCTAGAGAGGAGGTAGGAGGAAGGCACATCCTGCTTCCACCCTCAGAGTCCCACCTTGTGCCAGGAGTGAGCCAGAAGACCTGTTGGAGAGCCTCTTCTGGAGGCTGCTAAGGGGTGGTAGAGAGTATTGCCCACCCAGGTGCCATAAATGAACTCGATTTCTATTTGAAAATTTCCCTTTGCTGTCGGAGAAGAAGGCAATATGCAGCCTGGGGACATGGGTACACCCCTGGGTTGACATTACTGTGTTGCCCTGTCTGGGACCTGCTACTGGGGCTGCAGGGACCCCCAGAATCCTCCAGCACCTCCCACCAGCACTGCTGGCAGCCCAGCAGTTCCAGGGCCCCAAGCAAGCACCTCCCTGGGGACAGACCCAGTAGTGATCCCCAGCATCCCCAGGGGCTTCTCCTGCCACCACCCCACTGGCATCCCATAGCGAGCCAGCGCAGCACACCCTGCACCACAAGAACAGGCACACGTCCCAGCCGCTGCAATGCCAAACTGCTCGTCTTTATTCAAGCCGGGAAAAGCAGCCTCTGCCCCAGCAGCTCTGGCTCCGTGTTGGGATGTCCCCAGCACACGGGCACCCAGCAGGAGCAGTGCTTCCACTGCTGCTGTCACAGCCCCGGGGAACGGCAGAGGTGGGGAGCGGAGAGGACGTCAGGAGGTGGTGCCAGGAGCCAGAAGCGAGGGGGACGTCCTGCTCATGGGGTTCAGGGGCTCAGCCCCAGATCCTGTATGGAGAAAGCACGCAAGCACATCACCCACTGTAACTTGCTTCCACCTGCCTCTCTCTCCCACCTCCACTCTTATGACTAGGAAGTGCATAGAGGTAAGAACCACACAGGTGTAAACCTGTCATTTCGTTTGGCTTGGGCCTGTGCTCTCCTCACTGGAGGCAGCCTCGGCACCACAGGTCTTTAGAGCCATGAGGAGGAGGACCCTGTTCCTCACGCTGCCCAGAGGATAGTCTGCTTGTTCAGACAACACAGATGAGCTTTCTATACTGGCAGTGGGCAAGAATTGTGGGGGTGAAGAAGAGGAGGCACCAGCTGCCCTTGGACACCTTCAGTCCCCCAGCAGCCATGTCCAAGTCCACAAGGAATTCTCCCTTGTTTCCCTGTTTTTTGCCATGAGTATGAATATATGAGCACGTGAACCAGGAGCTGGCTTGGAAGACAATAATAATAGAACAAATAGAGCAAACTGTTTCCAGGACTTACAATTTGCAGCAGTGACTGAATGCTGAACAACTTCCCACATATTTATAGGGGAAACGGCAGCCCCCAATAAAGCAGGCTCCCTTTTTTCGTAGGCATTTCTCTTCTTTTCCCAGTGCTATAGAAAATCATGTACGGAGAAACAGTCAGAACAATAATCTGGGAGAGCAATGTGTGGTGGCAGAAGGGCTGACACTCCTCATGCATTTCAGGGCAATACACAGTCCCTAATTCAGCATCACCACAGCCACAACTTCAATACCCAGGTGTCTCACCTACAAGGGCTCTTTCACACCAGTGTGGGTGCACACGAGAGCAGGCACTGAGCAGCACCAGCATGAGGCTGAGGAGGAGCCGTGCTGGCTCCCCACTGCATGTGAGCCCCCTGCATGTCCACCACTACCTGAACCAGGAGAGCTGGCAAGCCGGGTGTTCCTTGCATCCCACATCCCTGTCCTGGCTGTGCCTTGCCTCTGAGTGACCTGTGATGGAAAACCCTTGCCCAGCCCTTGCAGGGGTCATGCATGGTGGGAACAGGGCTTTGGGGCACTCAGGATAAGAAGCAGACAAGCCCCTTCTCTGGGCTGGAGTCTTCCACACCCAGTGCAAATGACCACTGTAAATGCACCCAGATCTATGCCATTGCATGGCTTTTCACACACGAGCTCTAAAAGGCAAGCACAGAACCATTGGCCACCTGGTCTCTGACAGAGGTGGTCACTTCCCAGGACATGGGGGACCCCACCGATGGGGGCTCACAGCCCACCCCATCTCCCCTCATCCCCTCTCACCTGCAGCACCCTGGACCAACAGGAGCAAGAGTGGAAAGAGCAGGTACAGGATCTTCATGGCTGACGCCTGTCCCGAGTCTTCACAGGGCTGCTGAGGGGAGACACCAAAGCTCCTGGGGATGACAGCGCACAGCAAGATCCCACATTGCAGAGGGGCTGTCCCGGGTAACAGAGGATGATGTTTACTGTGGCCTGTTCTGAAGGATGCCTTTCAGATACGTGCCTTTTGGCTCTGCTGACAGCAGCTGGGGAAGTATTGGCCTGTTGGGCAATCCAGCTGATGTTGTTCTATCACCTTATTGCTCACTTTTCTCTCTGTATCTTCTTAAAGGACACATGGGAAAAGTAATGCCTGACTATTGCACTTGTAAGGAAAACAATATTTAAAGATATTCTGATAATCACTCATACAGTCAGTTAGTGCTCCTTCTTGGAAGGCTCAGATGGCCTCAGGATACACATGGATACTTCCAGCAGTGTTATTTAGAAAGCTTCAGGAGCTGATGAGAGAGGTGCCCAGGAATTGACCCCACACTTACCTACCTGATGAAGGTCTTGGTGTTCAAGCACTAACAAACCCAACAGGAATGACTCCTGTCCCTATGCCCTTGGGATCAGGGAATGCCACTTGGGTCAAACACCCTGTGCTTATACCACTACTGGCAGGTGGGACGTGCACTTATTCCTGCTGACACACCTCCCCTTGGCCAATCCCAAAGTGACCCATCTTACGGGAGATGGGGTTGCACCTTGTCCCTTCCTGCTGCAATGGCAGAGGCTATTGCAATCTTCACCGTTATCCTCATGCAACACATCTTGTGACACCCTGCGGCACAGCGGGCACATGGGGTGGGCATGGACTGCGTGGATGGACAAAGCAGGCTGGTTGCTTCAGGGTACAGCAGTAATGAGGAAAAGGTTTCATTTTTCGGTCCTCTCGTTTTGTGATGATATGAATAATCAGAGAGCTTGACAAGTGCAAGATCGTGCTGGATATTGGAAACCTGCTCACATTCATACACTCTGAGGAAAGCTTTACCTCTCACTTGAGTTCAAGGAGTTTTCTGGGTTCAGAAATAACACATTAACTGCTGCAAGAATACACCTGTATCAGGTGATGAACGATGCCCATCTCTCAACTCACTACCACGAAATCAGTCATCCAGCACATGACAGTGAAGATCAAAGTTCCTGTATTCTAGATAAAAGACATTCCTTCTCTTTTTTGTCCTCTTTCCCTTCCTTTCCTGTCTGCCTCAGGAGGTGACACTCATGAGGTGTGGCTGCTCACGCCACCATCAGTCTGGTTCAAGATGTTTTGGGCCAAGGATCCCCTGGTGCTTTGCACTGCAGAGATGAAGGGTGAGGTGGTGCCTGCTGCAGGCTCAATGAGAGGTGAACACAGGTGAAGGAAAGGCCACAGCAGGCAGGGGTGATCTGAGCATCCCCCACTGAACTCTCAGTTCAGGAAAGCAATAACAGCAAAGGCTTTTTCATCTTAGAAAGGAAAGCCTTCACTGAAGAAGCCAGAATCACTAGTTGCTCCCATATGTATTCCTCCTCCTGCTTGGTGGAATGGGGTGCAGGGCAGCACTGTTCCAACACAACACACAGCAAGGACAAGGAGAAGCAACAGGGCCACAGGACAGGTAGAGTGGGCAACCCTGGCCATGACCCCCAAGGGACACACACCCAGCACAGCCCTGCACATGAAGCCATGGCTGATAGGGACAAGGGGCACTCATGGCCAGCAGAGCCACAACAGGGCTCCACTCCCAGGAGGGAGCATCTGCACAGCAGCTTTATCACATCCACAGCAACCACCCTGCCTACAGGACTGCCAGGCCAAGAGCATCCCCACATCACTGCCAGGAAAGAGCATCCGCAAAGACAACCCCAGCATCCCCAGGCACTTTACCCTGCTCCAACCCAGCACCACACATCCTGGTTTCAGCCCTAACAGTTATTTACCTCCTTCTTGGCAGCTGGTGCAGTGCTGTGTATTTGACTTTAGACTGGGAATAGTGCTGATAACACACTGATGTTTTAGCTGTTGCTCAGTAATGCTTAACCTGATCAAGGGCTTTTCAGGCTTTCATGCTCTGCCAGTGAGGAAGGACACGGAAAGCCGGGAGGAAGCGGAGACAGGACACTTGACCCAAACTAGCCAAAGGGGTATTCCATACCACAGCATGTCGTGCCCAACATAGAAACTGGGGGGAATCACCTGGAAGGCCCAGATCACTGCTGGGTTGGCAGGTGTTGAGCAATGGTTTTGTGCATCACTTGTGTCTATTGTTTTCTTTTCCTTTTGCCCTTTTAGTTTTATATTTCTCCCCTTGTTGTTTTGCTTATCATTATTATTATTGGTGGTAGCAGCAGTGGTTTGTGTTATACCTAATTTACTGGACTGTTCTTATCTCAACCCATGGGATTTACATTCTTTTGACTCTCCTCCCCATCCCTCTGGGAGCAAGCAGCTGCGTGGTTCTGAGTTACGGGCTGGTCTTCAACTACCCCACTGGCACCCCATAGGGAGCCAGCACAGCACACCCTGCGCCACAAGAACAGGCACACGTCCCACCCACTGCAATGCCAAACTGCTCGTCTTTATTCAAGCCGGGAAAAGCAGCCTCTGCCCCAGCAGCACCGGCTCCGTGTTGGGATGTCCCCAGCACACGGGCACCCAGCAGGAGCAGTGCTTCCACTGCTGCTGTCACAGCCCCGGGGGCGGCAGAGGTGGGGAGCGGAGAGGACGTCAGGAGGTGGTGCCAGGAGCCAGAAGCGAGGGGGACGTCCTGCTCATGGGGTTCAGGGGCTCAGTCCCAGACACTACAAAGAAAGCATAAAAGCACGTCACCCACTGTAACTTGCTTGTATCTTCCACCTCTCCTGCCCAGACAAGCAAGTCTATGGTGCGGGAGGATCAGACTCAACAGAGGCAAGGTTCAGTCCTTGCTGCAGAGTTTGGACCCATTTTATCTTAGTGTAGGCAGCTCTAACTCCAGCTCTGTGCAGATGAAGCAAACCCAAGATCATGCTGCCTAAGGACAGTGAATGCTTCATTCTCTGCAGACTTGGGAGAGCTTTCTGCAAAGCCCAAATGAGTCTCATGGAGTTGAAGGAGAGTGGGGAGGTGCTGGGTGACCTTGGCTCCTTCAGCACCCAGGGCAGGTCCAAACCCACCAGGGCTTTTCCCTTCATTTTTGGGCCTCCTCCTCAAAACAGAAATGTATATAGGTATACATATATGTATAAATGTTTAAAGTACAGTATATGCCATAGATAGGTTAGAAAGAAATATTTGACAGATATTTCTGTGGACATAGGAAAAAACCCTTTCCTCAACCAGGGATCTACACCATACCTTTTGCAGCATACTTCAGATCTTGAACACAATCCAATAGTTACTGCAGGGTAACGGCAGCGTCCAAAAGCGCAGTATCCCCTTTTCTCTCTGCACCTCATCCGGCTTCCTGTTTCAATGGGAACGATACACATGAAACCATTAAAGTGACAATCTGGGAGAGCAATGTGTGGTGGCAGAAGGGCTGACACTCCTCATGCATTTCAGGGCAATACACAGTCCCTAATTCAGCATCACCACAGCCACAACTTCCATACCCAGGTGTCTCACCTACAAGGGCTCTTTCACACCAGTGTGGGTGCACACAAGAGCAGGCACTGAGCAGCACCAGCATGAGGCTGAGGAGGAGCCGTGCTGGCTCCCCACTGCATGTGAGCCCCCTGCATGTCCACCACTACCTGAACCAGGAGAGCTGGCAAGCCGGGTGTTCCTTGCATCCCACATCCCTGTCCTGGCTGTGCCTTGCCTCTGAGTGACCTGTGATGGAAAACCCTTGCCCAGCCCTTGCAGGGGTCATGCATGGTGGGAACAGGGCTTTGGGGCACTCAGGATAAGAAGCAGACAAGCCCCTTCTCTGGGCTGGAGTCTTCCACACCCAGTGCAAATGATCACTGTAAATGCACCCAGATCTAAGCCATTGCATGGCTTTTCACACACGAGCTCTAAAAGGCAAGCACAGAACCATTGGCCACCTGGTCTCTGACAGAGGTGGTCACTTCCCAGGACATGGGGGACCCCACCGATGGGGGCTCACAGCCCACCCCATCTCCCCTCATCCCTTCTCACCTGCAGCACCCTGGACCAGCAGGAGCAAGAGGGGAAAGAGCAGGTACAGGATCTTCATGGCTGACGCCTGTCCTGAGTCTTCACAGGGCTGCTGAGGGGAGACACCAAAGCTCCTGGGGATGACAGCGCACAGCAAGATGCCACATTGCAGAGGGGCTGTCCCGGGTAACAGAGGATGATGTTTACTGTGGCCTGTTCTGAAGGATGCCTTTCAGATACGTGCCTTTTGGCTCTGCTGACAGCAGCTGAGGAAGTATTGGCCTGTTGGGCAATCCAGCTGATGTTGTTCCATCACCTTATTGCTCACTTTTCTCTTTGTATTTTCTTAAAGGACACATGGGAGAAGTAATTCCTGACCATTGCACTTGTAAGGAAAACAATATTTAAAGTTGTGGAAAATGCAGAATATTTCCCTTTTTAAGTTGTACTCCCTCAGGTAATATGTATCCAACACTTATCTCTTGAGGATTACTAAATATGTTTGTGGAGAAACAGAGCCACGGGTGAGCCAGGACAGACTTTCAAATGTAGTTACCAGACCAGCTGCATTGCTAGAGCATTTACCCTCATACTTCTGCCTCTTCTTACCAAAGAACCCAAAAAGAGACAGTTTGACTATCAGGAGATGCTCCTGACAACACTCAATGGCAATGCCAACAGTAAAACTGGGGGTCAAGAACTGACCCACATTCAGGAGTTGAGGTGAATGCTTGTATGCAGAGATGCCAGCACTTGGTGAGGGAGGCTCCTGGTGAATGAACAGAATGAGCAATAAAAATCCACATTCCAAGTTAACGTAAGCCTGAAAGAATGGAAAATCTCTGTATTGCTGTATCAATAGCATCTCCCTGCTTTGCCCAGGACAGTCACCATGTGCCCCAGTTGCCAGGGACCTTCAAGCCTCAAGACACATTTCCAGTCCCAGTTGAAGTCAGGGAACCCAGTTTTGCTTTTAGATAGCTATGAGTTCTGATGCTCACTTACTCATACAGACAATTAGTGCTCCTTCTTGGAAAGCTCAGATGGCCTCATGATATGCATGGATACTTCCAGCAGTGTCATTTAGAAAGCTTCAGAAGCCAACAAGAGAGATGCAGTAGAAAGAGAGAGGTGCCCAGGAATAGACCCCACACTTACCTACCTGATGAAGGTCTTGGTGTTCAAGCACTAACAAACCCAACAGGAATGGCTCCTGACCCGATGCCCTTGGGATCAGGGAATGCCACTTGGGACAAACGCCCTGGGCTTATACCACTACTGGCAGGTGGGACGTGCACTTATTCCTGCTGACACATCTCCCCTTGGCCAATCCCAAAGTGACCCATCGTCTTACGGGAGATGGGGTTGCACCTTGTCCCTCCCTGCTGTAGTGGGAGAGGCTGAGGTGCCTCCTGGGGCTTTTGCAGTCTTCACCGTTATCCTCATGCAACACATCTTGTGACACCCTGCGGCACAGCGGGCACACGGGGTGGGCAGGGACTGCGTGGATGGACAAAGCAGGCTGGTTGGTGTACACACCAGTAGCAGCCAGTCTGTAAA